TATTTTTCAATAGTTTATTCTACTTTGGATGTTAAAAATAGGGCTCTAGCCCTGGCCAGTTTGGCTCAGTGGATAGAGCATTGGCCTATGGTCCACAGAGACCCGGATTCGGTTCCTGCTAAGGGCATGTACCTCGGCTGCAGTTTGTCCCCGGCCCTGGCTGGGTTGTGCGGGTGCTGACCATTTAATTTATTTCTTTCACGTCGATGTTTCTCTCTCTCTCTTTCTCTCTCTCCCTGCAGTTCTATCTGAATAAAAAATGGAAAAATGTCCTCAGGTGAGGATAAAAAAAATAGGGTTCTATAGCTTAATTCTATGATTTTAAGATCATCCATAAATAATTTGATCATGTAATACATTAAAATGAAAGAACACTCTTTTTCTAAAGGTATTCTGCTTAACTTTAACTTTTCTATTTTGTAAGTTAAGTTACGTAAAATGATCTTTAAGAAATTACTTACACATGATCTGATTTATGTATGTAAAGTTTGAAATATAAGTCATTAAATGAAATACATGATGGTGATGATGATGGTGATGATGATGATGGCAGGTAATGGGAGATCTCTAACTTTTTGTTGTGACTTCATCCAGTTTCCTTAGAGGAGGGGTTCACTGTAATTTAAGAACACTATCAATCTTTTCTATGCTCTTATGATGAATCATGCTCAGCATCAAGTCTACCTTGAAAGAACATCTTCACTTAAAATTTCATCAACCATATCTTAAAAACAAAACATTTCTTATAATTTATTTGCTACTTTTTAATACATCCTAAAAATTAATGCAAAGCGAACTAAAAAAGTAGTACTTTGCTTTAATAGCATTTTCTTATAGACATGTATATAACCTTGACATAAAAATACAGTATATAAACCTTCTTTCATATTTTTTTCAATTCTTTTTTTTCTCAAATTTTTATTAATTTATTTTTGTTACAGATGTTTCTCCTTCTTCCCCCCCCTAGACCTCCTCCTCCCCATCCAGCTCCTCCACCCTCCTAGCATTGTTGTCTATGTCCATTGGTTATGCATACATGCATATAAGTTCTTTGGTTCATCTCATCCATCCCCCAACTCTGTCCCCCTACTCTGAGGTTTGGCAGTCTGAACTATACTCCTTTCTATGTCTCTGGTTCTATTTCATTCATTAGCCCACCGTATTCATTATATTCCACAAATAAGTAAGATCATGTGGTATTTGTCTTTCTCTGGCTTATTTCACTTAGCATAATACTCTCAAGGTCCCTTCCATGTCATCTCAAAGGATACGTGATCTCTCTTTCTTACAGCTGCATAGTATTCCATTGTGTATATGTACCATAGCTTTTTTATCCACTCATTTATTGATGGACACTTGGTCTGTTTCCAGATCTTAGTGATTGTAAATAGTGCTGCTATGAACACAGGGGTACATATATCCTTTCTGATTGGTGTTTCAACTTCTTAGGATATATTCCTAGAAGTGGGATCATTGGGTCAAATGGCAATTGAATTTTTAATTTTTTGAGAAAACACCATATTGTTTTCCATAGTGGCTGCACCAATCTGCATTCCCACCAGCAGTGTACTAGAGTCCCCTTTTCTCCATATCCTCGCCAGCACTTGTCGTTTGATGATTTATTGATGGCAGCCATTCTGGCAGGTGTGAGGTGATACCTCATTGTTGTTTTAATTTGCATCTCTCTGATGATTAGTGATGCTGAACATTTCTTCATATGTTCATTGGCTATTTGTATATCCTGTTTGGAGAAGTGTCTATTTATCACCTCTGCCCATTTCTTAATTGGGTTCTTTGTCTTCCTTTTGTGGAGTTGTATGAACACTATATATATTTTGGAAATTAACCCCTTATCTGATGTATCATTGGTGATTATACGCTCCCATACAGTGGGTTCCCTTTCCATTTTGATGGTTGTTTTTAATAGCATCATTAGCAAGTACAATTCTCTCATCTGCTTATTTGCATGCCCAACTACTGTGATTGATCTAGGTCATTTTATTACAGCAGTCAAAGTAGTACTACATATACATAAACATATACAAACACTACACTAAAGACTTATGCTTCTTTAATAAATTTACCTTTCTATGTCTTTTTTATTCTCTGTCAAGGAACTAGAAAGTTTAAAAAAGTAATTTGTTCATTTTCACTTTTGTATTGCATATTATTGTGTCCATATGCCATAATTTACTTGTTGATTTTATAACTAATGAGCATTTATATGAATTCTCAATTTCAGCCCTTAAGAACTGTAATAACATGTACATTTTTGCACATATATTCTGTTACACACGTACCAAAAATTTTCTAGTATAAAGAATAGAAATACAATTAATGGGTCTTAGGATATGCACATTCATCTTAAAAACATAAAGCCATATTCATACACAAAGTTGTTATACCAATTCATAGCTCAAGAAATATAGTATGAAAGTTCCCATTGTTTCAGTTTCTTTCCAAAATTAGAAGTACCACAATAATATTAACACTTTTATATTTATATAAATTATTACTACACTTAACACTTTACAAATCATTTCCTATTATAATTTCAAATTTATCTTTAGTGAGTAAAAATTGTACTAATATTTTCATTTCTGTGACTAATTTTATATACATTTATTCATACCGCATGATATATTGTTTATACATTTATCAACATTTTATTATATAGTCCTATAACCATTCTTCTTCATGTCTCAAATACTCTTTTGTTACCAGAAAGTGTTATTATAACAGAGATATTTTCTTTAATCAAATATTATATCACTTTGAGAAAATATAATTACTTAAAGGCATGTTGTGCAGAAATTTTCGTGCTGTTGAACATAACCTGAAAGGACCTGATGAACAAGGCTGAAGGTTTTCTATTAAGGTATTTTCTCATCGAAATCAACAGGTTACTTCAAATTCTGTCTATAAAGTTAAAGATTTGGGTTTTCTCAGAGACTTTCAGTGCCACAGTAATCTCAAGGCGATCTGTCTTAGCTTACTGTTTCCCAAAATTATAATAAGAGTGGCCTGAGGGAAAGTTAGTTGAAATCATCATGACGGGCATAATGGCCTGATATGTCTGTAAGTCAGTAGAGATTCAACTTTCTGCTGGAGAAGGAATGAAGTAAATGATGAAGAGGAGGACAAAGGTTGTCACCATTTTTATGGCCCTTCTATGGGCTACTGTGCTAGAGGCTCTTGGGTCTGTCAGATTGAGCTACAAATGCTGGCTGTGTCTCACCAAGGACAGAAATAAAAAGAGCGAAGACATCAGGGACAAGAAAGGGGGATAATATAGGTCAAACTAAGAAGATGAAGACTTTCAAGATAGAAAATTCAGTTGAACAAGGTTATAGATTTCTTTTTTTATAATATAACTCTACCAAATTTATTTCAACAAACTTTCTGTTTCATTAGTTTTCACAAGATTATAATAAAAACAGATCTTGAAGGTATTTTCATAATTATTACATAAACTTCAAATATAACAATTTTCATATCTGTGGAAGGATCATTCACTTATGTACCACAATTTTACTATTTTTATGTTGAGCATATATTTAAGATAGAAAAGATTTGAATTTTTTTGTCTGAAGTTTAATAGGAATTTTTAGGTGGCGAGATGGAGATGATTGGCTATTCAGACCCCAAACTTGCTCTAGGTGTGAACTAAATAAATTGACATCAGTTTTCTTCTTTAACAATGTCTTCTGAATTAAAAAATAAATTAAAAAAACTCTAAGAAATTACTTTCCTGACTGCACAGAGAACCATAGGAGCAATAAAAACAACATAACCATTTTACTTTCCTCTTCATTCCTATTGTAGAACTTGATTATTTTCTAAGCTTTCACTAACTTCTATTGAATAAATAATGTTTAGTACTATTAATTGTACATGAATATAAAACATATTCTAAATATGTTTATCACTCTTTAATTTAATTACAAGCATCTTTCCCCAAAACAATTCTGGTTGCTCTCTATAAACCATGAAGTAAGCCCTGGATGGTTTGGTTCAGCAGTTAGAGTGTCGGTCCACAGACCAATGAGTCACAGGTTTGATTGTGGTCAAGGGCACATACCTCAGTTGGGATTCTTCCCCGGCCCTGGTTGGGGTCTTGTGGGAAGCAGCCACTCGAAGTGTCCCTTTCACATCGATGTTTCTCTCTCTGTCTCGTACTCTCTCTCCCTCCCACTCTATCTGAACAAAAATGGAAAAAATATCCTCGGATGAAGATAAAAAAATAAAATACACCATGAAGTAAGAATTCTTAATGGAATACTATTTCAAAATCCATCCTCAATATGTGATTTAGAATTGAATATCCTTACCATCCAAAATATTGGAGGTACAAACAAAATAGTCTAAACACTCTATGGTACATATGTGTGGTACTAATTACAATGGAAAATAGCTATGACTTCCTGAGATGAGTTTTCAGTCCTGAAAAATGCACAAATAGAGATAATTTCTTCACTTACAGGATAATAATGTACACTACATATGTAAAATACTCATGGCTTCAGAATCCTGAGCAATTTCTTACACTATTTTATAAAATTAGATTGCATATCTGAAAACAATAATATGATAATTTTATAACCTTTCTAGTAATTTTCATAAATATGCACACACATTTTTTTGTGATAAGTTTACATAAAGATTTTACTAGGTATACCTTATCCAATTCTATACACATTAAGAAATGCAGTAGCTGTCCTGCCAGTGGGTCAGTGGTTGAACGTCAACCCATACACCAAGAGTTCGCTGGTTCGATTCCCTTTAGGGCATATGCCCCAATTGTTGGCCCAATTCCAAGTGAGGGGCATGCAGGAGGTAGCTAATTGATGTTCTCTCTTATCAATGTTTCTCTCTCTCTCCCTTTCTCTCTAAAAATCAATAAGGAAAATAATTTTTTTAAAGAAAAGAAATGCAGTAAGAAAGACAAAATATCCCATCACCATTAGTTTGTTTCCTGCCAAAAGACACATGGTGCCCACTTATTTCCTTTCTTTCAACCAGCACCTCAGCTGCCACAGAAATGACAGAAAGGCCAGTCTCAGCTTCTTGTTCCCCCAAATCAAGATCAATGAGTGGCCTGAAGGATACAAGACGGAAAGAAACTGGCTAGGAATGAAAACTAAATTTTTCAGTGGAGTAAAAGAACTCCAAACTGTGATGAGTTCAGCCGTGAAGTAAATGACAAATAGCATAAGAAAGGAAATCACAGTTTGCATAGCTCTTATATGGACCTTGGAGCTGGGATCTTGGGATCCTTTCCCACTGAGTTGCATCCTCTTGAGATGTTTCCATAGGGAAAAGATTAACAGCAGAAAAGCCGTCAGGGACATAGTAAAGGGTATAAAGTTTGCAAGCGTGAATACAGTCAGATTTGTTAGGTGTACAATGTCCTCCAAGTTGGTCTTGCAAGTGATGTTTCCTTCACAATCAATCTTCCCCATTTTTATATCTGTGCTCAGCACTACAAGATGACAAACCAAGAAGACCAAATTTCCCCACAGGATCATGACTACTGCTCTTTTAACTTTCCGTTTTAGGTGAAGAAATAAAAGGCAGGAGAAATTGGCTATCTTGAACAAATAAAGTATGCTGAGGCTAGTAGCAAGCCAGAGGCTAAAATGGTTGCTTATTACCCAGGCAATATAAACAATTGTTACTTCTTTTAAAGTATAAAAATCCAGAATAAAGACATATGCATGCCAATAGAATACTGTTACCGAGAGCAAAGCAATTCTGGAGACCGCCAGAGCAGTGAGAATTCCATCAGCGCAGGACAGCTTTTGTCTCTTGACCCAGTCAGTGCAGTTCACCACTGCTATGAAGCCGTTGGCAAAACTTCCTAGAACAAATTCTGCTATTATGAGGACAGAAAGAATGCTCCATAATGAATTTATCATGTCTAGAAAAAAGGCCAAGTCTGATATCACTGGTCGTGATTCCTTTACTATTTTGACCTTAAGTTCTATTTGCAGCTGATCCTGAATGTGCATTAAATTCTTGTCTTTTAAATACTATGAGCAACGCCATGCAGAAAAGCACCAGGATATGCTTATGGAAGAGCTCACTGCTTTCCTTATGAAAAACATTGTTATTTCCCAAACAGCTCAAATGAACTCCTATTCAAATACTTGATGTCCTTGCTGTAGGCTGGAATATTACACAACTGATGTTGTTGTAAAGATGAATTCTCATTTGCTAGCATGCAAATATTGACAGATTCTCTTCCATTGTTTTGCCATTTTCCTGGTTTCATCTCAACAAATTGTGTTCATCACCTTTGTCATTAGTAAAATATAACAACCCAATACATTGAATGTACAGTAATTGTTCAATAAAGCTTGAAAATTTATAGGATCATTATAACTATGGATTTTTAAAATTTTTTGTTGAATTTATTCAGGTGACATTGGTTAATAAGATTATTAGGCTTCAGGTATGCAATTCTATAATACATCATCTGTATATGGTGGTGTGTGTTCACTACCCAAAGTCAAGTCTCCTTCCATCACCATTTATCATCCCTTTGGGATTTTTTCTTAATGTCAGATTTATGTACAGATAATCCAATCTTTTCTGATTAGGCATCAAGGTTTTCTTGAGTACCTCAGGATGGCCTATACTCACGAAGGGCTGGTTGCTGATAACTAACATATAAATATTCTCTTATTGTTTATTAACTCATGAACATAAACACACACACACACACACACACACACACACACACACACAAGCTCATCTCATGGAAGGAAGGATTTATTGTCCCATAGTTTTCAAAATGTTAAAATGAGTGTTAGTGAGGTCACCTAGATTTAAATCAATATTTTTTTTGTTCAGGCTTTTCTGCCCATTATTAACAGATATCAAACATCTCTCATGTTATTTCTTTGATTAACTTTCTCTTTTGTGTCTATTTAATATTAAATACTTAATTCAAATACTCAGAAATTTTATAAATATTTCTTGGCAACTTCCAAAGAACATGTGGTTTCCATTGGGAAGTGTAGACTTTTCTGTACATGAAAATTCAGTTTTACTTTCTCTGTTTAATTCATTTCTGACTGCTTAATATTTTTTTAAAGATGAATAAATGTTAAAATCAGCCTCTAACCTTGGATTTTATTGTTTCAATCTTTATGTTGTAATTGTTTTTCAGGGATGATCTTAAAGCTGGAGTGCCTTACGGGAAAACCAGATTCTGTGCTTTGCATATCTCTGACCTCTGAAAACTGCTCTCTGCCTCAGTATAGTTATCAATTAAAAATAAGGTAACCACTTGGTCAGTGTGGTTCAGTAGCTGAACATCTACCCACACACCAAGAGGTCACCGCCTCAATTCCCAGTCAGGACACATGCCCAGGTTATGGGTTAGGTCCCAAGCAAGGGGCAGGCAGAAGGCGGACAATCGATGTTCTCTCTCATCAATGTTTCTATCTCTCTCCCTCTCCCTTCCTCTCTCTCTAAAAATCAAGTTTAAAAACTACTTTTTAAAATCAGGGAACCATGATAAGCTTTTTGAGTAGTCTTTGTGAAGAGTGAGTATACAATTCGTGTAGAGTGCTTACGATTGTGCCTGCCTGATACAGACCCTAGGCACCAAGAATTGTTCTTCATTTGATCCTGTGTTGTTTGGTACTTCAAAATTAATCTGGGAGAATTTCTGCTTTGAGTACAATGTAGCAGCAAAGAAAGAAGCAAGATTTCCTCTTACACCAACCAAGATAAGGGAAATATATTGTCAAAATTACATTTTAATTGTATCACCAAGATGTGTAAGGAAGAAAGACCAGTGAACTAAAATCCAGGTAAAACTGGAGTCTTTAGATGAAGACATGATCAATAAATTCAATGCAATCACTATCAAATTCCAGATGGCTATTTTGCAGAATGTACAAACGATTCCTAATATGCTTATAGACATGCAAAGCACTCACATAGCCAAAAAATATTTTTTAAAAGAACAAAGTTTCTAATTTCAAAGCTTACTACAAAGCTGTATTAATTAAGATGGTGTACAACCTGTCCTGGCCAGTTTGGCTTGACAGTTAAAGTATTGACCCTGGGACTAAAGGGTCAGAGGTTTGATTCCTGTCAAGTGCACAAACCTCAGTTGTGGTTTGATCCCTGGCCCTGGGGCTGTGTGGGAGGCTACCAACCTATGGGTCTCTCTCATATCAATGTTTCTCTCTCTCTCCCTCCCACGATCCCTCCCACTCTATCTGAAAATCAATGGAAAAATATCTTTGGGTGAGGATTAAAAAAAATAGTGACCAACTTGAGTAACAGTGGACATCTATCAATCAAACACAATTGAAGTTCACGTATTAACACTCACCATCATTGTCAGATGATTTTTTAAATAATTTTTTATTTTGCAATTACAATTGACATATATTATTATATTAGTTTTAGGTGTACACATCAGTGTTTAGATATTATATAACTTAGTAAGTGAACATCCCAATCAATTTTGCACCCATCTTACACCACACATATTTATTAGAATGTTATTAAGTATATTCCCTATCCTGTGATTTACATCTTCTCTACTAGTCTGTAACTACCAATTTGTACCTCTTAATACCTTCACCTTTTTCATCCATCACCAGAAATCCCCTTTCTTCTGACAACTATCACAATGTTCTCTGTACTCATGAGATTGTTTACATTCTACTTGTTTGTTTATTTGTTTCTAAATTTCAACTCATGGTATATATGTATTTATTGCCATTTTACTGTCATATTTCTTCTTCTTCTTCTTCTTCTTCTTCTTCTTCTTCTTCTTCTTCTTCTTCTTCTTCTTCTTCTTTCTCTTCAATAAGACTCTTTAACATTTCATATAATACTAGTTCAGTGGTGATGAACTCCTTAACATTTTCTTGTCTGAGGATCTCTTTATCTGTCTTTCTATCCTAAATGATACCTTTGCTGGATATAGTAATATTGGTTGCAGGTCTTTGCTTTTCATCACTGTCTGTATTTCTTGCCAAATCCTTCTGGCTTATAAAACTTCTGATGAGAAATCAGCTGACAGTCTTGTGAGTTCTCCTTTATGGGTAATGAAATGCTTTCCTCTTGCTGCTTTTATGACTCTCTCTTTGTACTTAACCTTTTGCATTTTAATGATGGCGTGTCTTGGTGTAGGTCTTTTTCGCTTCATCAGTTTGAAATTATCTGAACTTCCTGGACTTGTAAGTTTATTTCCTTCAGCAGGTTAAGAAAGTTTTCTGTCGTTATTTTTTCAAATAGATTTTCAATTTCTTGCTGTCACTATTCTTCTGGCACCCACATGATGTGAAATTTGGTATGCTTGAAGTTGTCCCAGAGGCTTCTTACACTATCTTCACTTTTTAAAATTCTTTTATTCTGCTTGCTCTTCTGATTTGGTGTTTTTTGCTTTCTTCATTTCAAATAGCTGATTTTATTTTGGCCTCATACACTCTACTATAGATTCCTTGAAACATATTCTTCATTTAAGCTAATGTATTCATTTCTGACTGATTCTTTTTTGTTTTCTATCTCTGTTTTCTTTTATTTTCTATTTCTTTTTTGAAGTTCTTACTAAGTTCATCTACTTTTACACTAAGTTATTAAGCATCTTATAACCAGTGTTTTGAACTCTGCATCTGGTAGATGGCATGCCTCCATTCTGTTTAGCTCTTTTTCTGGAGTTTTTTGCTGTTCTTTCATTTGGGACATGTTTTTTTTGTTTGTTTGTTTTTGTTTTGTTTTTTTTGTTTTTTGTTTTTTTTATCTTCTCATATTGGCTGACTCCCTGTGTTTGTTGCTATACATTAGGTAGGACTGTGACATCTCCCACGCTTGGCAGAGTGGCCTTATGTAGTAGGCATCTTGTAAGGTCCAGTGGCACAGCTTCCCTGATTACCAAACCTGGCGCTCCAGTGCATTCCACGTGAGTGCTGTGTACACACTCCTATTGAACTTGATCCTTGATTGCTGTTGGAATGTCAATGGGAATGATTTACCTTTGGGCCAATCAGCTGCAAGGACTGGTTGAAACCACTGACCACTGTGGAAGATTGGCCGTGCAGGGGCCCACCCTACAGCTCTGGACATACTTCAGTGGTACTCCGATGTTTGCTATGTCTGCCCCTTGAGTGTGTCACTTGTGGAAGTGGTTGAGTGGTAGTGTGTTAATGAGGTCTGAAGCTGTCCACTGGGTGCTGTGGTTCTGGGGCCTCACGGGGTTGCAAGATCAGGTCATTTACCATCTGTGTTCTTCCCAGAGCCACTCTGCATGAGCTATAATGTGATCTGCAGATGGCTGTTAATTGTGCTGGGCTTGGAGGTGCTCTGGGGAAGCCATGTTGTGAACTAAGTTCACCTGCCAGTTACTGGCTTGTGGCCACTGATTGAAAGGTATAGGGCATACTGAGGACTCATGCTGCTTGTTGGAGAGATTTTATGAAAATCTGAAGCATTAGCTAAAATAGGTCATTTGTATGGAAAGGCCACTGAGAACAGCTTTGGTGGGCCCAAAAGTTAGGTGAGGCTGGAGTCTCAGATATGGTGCAACCTGCAGGTTCTGTGCTGTTAGGGCTCATCAAAGGAACAGTAGCCTATGCCTGCACTTTTGTCTGAGAGAAAGCTGCCCCTCCAGTTCTCACATTGATGCTGGACAATTCAATTCCTCCCCACATATCTCTGGTGCCTTTCAAGCTGCTGCTCCAGTGCTTGAGTTCAGAGGAATTTGAATCCAAGGAAATCCAAGAGCAGGCCCTTTAAGAGAAATGCCCGGGCTTTTGCCTGGCCTAGTCAGGTGGTAAGGAGATGCTGCATGTACAGTTCCGTACGAGGAGTTCACTGATGCTGTAATGATTCTGGGTCACATTGGAACAGACACTACAGTTTAAAGATGTGTGTCCCAGTGATGGGCTTCCTCTGGGGCTGATGTGATCAACATTATCCAGTGCTTTTGCATTTTGAGGTCCAGAGCAGCTATTTGGAAGGACATACAATGTCCAGCAAAGGA